GGCGGGCAGAAACAGGCGGATCTTTGTGAGTTCAAGGCCAGCCTGGTCTACAAGAGCTAATTCCAGGGCAGGCTCCAAAGCTACAGAGAAACCCTGTCTCGAAAAATCAAAAAAAAACAAAACAAAAAAAGTAATGTAAAATTAAGAAATACAGATTAACAGTTATCTATAGTAAAACTTATAGTCATATTAAATATATTTTCAAGGTCAAATAGATACATTTTAGACAGATGGTCTTCATACACTTCAAAGGACTATAGAATATGGCATTTAAAATGTTTTTTGTCTCTTGGTTAATTTTTGAAGATTTATTAAATTATTAGTATATAGTATTCTGCCTGCATGCCAGAAGAGGGCACCAGATCTTATTACAGATGGTTGTGAGCCACCATGTGGTTGTTGGGAACTGAACTCACAAGATCTCTGGGAGAGCAGTCAATGCTCCTAACCACTGAGCATTCTCTCCAGTTCTAAAATGTTTTGTTAATATAGGGCTTTTTCATGTCAGTGTAAAGTAGGACCAATTTACTTCAAGAAGATGACAGGTATCAAACTCTACATGGAGTTTGCTTTCTTTATGGCAAAAGCTAGCCACTGTCAAAGAAATTGTTCAAGCAGGACACAAAGGAAAGTGTCTGTCAAACTTTGCCAAGACAAATAATCCTTAAAAATACCTGTGTCACAGAAAAGTCTGTCAGATATTTTAGGCCTGTAGGCCAAAAATGAATACACCGTTACAGAGGAACCTTGGGGTGAAAGGCAGTGGTGGCGCATGCCTTTAATCCCAGCACTTGGGAGGCAGAGGCAGGAGGATCTCTGTGAGTTCGAGGCCAGCCTGATCTACAAGAGCTAGTTCCAGGACAGGCCCCAAAGCTACACAGAGTAACCCTGCTTTAACACACACACACAAAATGAATCTGACATTGGCCCTTGTCCTCTGTACATATGCACATCAGAACTTGGCCAAAAACACAAACATGTACACACACATAAAAATAATTACATTAAGCCAGGTGGCAGTGGCATAAGCCTTTAATCCTAGCACAGACACTATCTGATAGTAGTGACCGTGATTTACCTGTATATTTGAATCTCCTTGTGTGTACTTTGCTCCTTCTATTATAGCCATATAGGAGAATCTGAGCTGGTCTGGCGTCTGGATAAGTCCCATGCGATACTTTCTCATATTCAGTAATACTTGTTTCACATTAACATCCTCTCCTTTTTCCATCTGCAACAAAGGCAAAAGCAAGTTGTCTAAGTCCAGGAAACAGAAACAATACAAGGTCACCTCTCAGAACTTAGCTGTGTTGTAGATCCTTAAAGAAAAAATGATTTGACACATGATGGCAACAACCCATTATTCTGACACACCGGCTGTCAAAGCAGCACCTGAAGGGTCTCTAGATATTCACGCAATTCCAATCACAGCAATTTCATTCGCTCTAATCAATACTCAGTGAAAGTAAGGAGTCACACTTATTTCTGGCCAAAACAAGGGTAACTGCCCTTGTTTTCTCTCTTTCTCTCTCTCTCTGGTTGAGACCGGGTTTCTCTAGGTTGCAGCTCCTTGTAGACCAGGCTCAGGCTGGCCTTTAACTCACAGATATTCGCACGCCTCTGCCTCGTGAGTGTACCACCATGGTCTGGTTTTGTTTTTATCTCTTAATGTGACTTATTTATTGCCCTCCCTCCCTTCCTGATCCATAGAGCAAGTTCCAAGAAAACCAGGGTTACATAAAGAAACCCTGTATCAAAGAAAAGAAAAAAATAAAAAACCAAAACCAACCAAACAACTAGTGGATGCTGAAGGACTAGATGATACAGAAATCAAGGCACAAAGTATTATCGACAGGTTTGATTCTATAATAAAAGGAGGGAGAAAGAAGGCAGGTATTAAAAGAGGCATGAGAACCTAGAAATCCCCTATGTCCAAAGGTCATAGACTAAAGGTCATAAAAAGAAAGAATGGAAGGGGGCTGGAAGGATGGTCTAGCAATTGAGAACACTGAATGTTCAATTCCCAACAGACACATAATCATATTACAGATAGTCGTCTATCTATGATAACAGTTTCTGAAGATCTGACATTCTCTTCTTCCTTCCATGAAGACCAGGCATGATATGAGCAAAACAGAAGAGGAGGAGGGAGTTTGAATCGGTTGTGGCTGTGGGTGGTGGGTTAAAAAAAAAAGTATAGATCTTGGGGTTCCATACAAGAGTCTCAAGACTGGCTCTGTACTAACATGTGGTGTCCTGGTTTCACATCTGTTGATATGAGAGAACACTGGATAGAAGCAGCTTAGAAGGAAAGGTTTTATTTTAGTTCACAACCCCAGACCACAGCCTATCATTTAAGGACTTGCTATGTAATTGGGCTGGTCTGGAACTCAGAGAGAATCCTTTACCTCTGTTAGAATTAAAGGTGTATGCTACCACAGATGGACTTCTTTCTTGTTTTATGAGACGGTCTCTTACTGGATCTGGGTAAGCTATGGTCAGTGAGCTCTAAGGACCTACCTTACTCCCACTTCCCAAGTTCTGGGATTACAAACATGGCACTGTGTATGTGAGGCAAATTTTCTGTCCCAGCTTACTTAATGTTGAGATGACAGGTACGAGCCAAGCTTGACTGAGACAAATTTCTTGGGGAAGCTCTGGAACTGTTGGACACACTCATATACCACCCAGGAGCTAGAGCTAATTTAAACAGTGGAAGGTAGGGATTTTCAACAAGAAAGTACAAGTTTAACCTAAAAACACTAGATTTTAGGATATGACATTTGAACTTACTGCTGCCTATAGAAACAGTTAAGACAGAGGAAGGGGCTAGGTGGATACAAGAACTGACTGCTATCACAGAGAACCAGGGTTTGTCTTACAATTATGTGCAACTCTGTTTTGGGAACTCGGTGCTCCCTTTTTGACCTCCACAGGCACCAGTCATGCACATGGCACACACACATACTTGAAGGGAAAAAACATAAACATAATTTTAAAATTTTTTACGAATGTTTATCAGCTGGGTGGTGATGGTGGTGGTACAGATGAATTTCTGATTTTGAGACCAGCCTCATCTACAGAGCGAGTTCCAGGACAGCAAGGGCTACACAAGGAAACCCTGTCTTGGAAATCAAAAAAACTTTATCCGTTCCTCATTAATATTATAAAACCATAAAACAAAACAAAGCAGAGACACAGAACTGGCCAGGCAGGGTGGTGCATGCCTTTATAGGAGTAAAATACTTGAGAGGCAGAGGCAGGCGATTTCTTAAGTTTGAGGCCAGCCTGATCCACAAAGAGAGTTCCAGGACAGCCAAAGCTACAAAGAGAAACCCTGTCTCGAAAAACCAAGCCAAACAAAAAACCCCACAAACCCAAAATAAGGTCACCATGAACACTTACCAGAACAAGGCAGGTGTCTACAAGAGAGAAGGTGCCAGAGCGCCCAATGCCTGCACTACAATGGATCACTGCGGGTCCATGGTCTGGGTTCAAGGAGCCAGATTCTCTAACTTTAAACAAGAAATTGAGGAATGAAGCCGGTGACTCAGGAACTCCAAAATCTGGCCAGGTGGTATAATGAAAGTGAGATATAGTTCGGGTTTCACCACTCTGAAATGTGAAAATCAAGGGGAAGTCAGTTCCGATTTTTTTCTTTTATTTATTTATTTTTTAAAATTATTTATTGTATTTTATGTATATTAGTGCTGTATCTGCATGTATACCTGCATACCAGAAGAGGGTATCAGATTCCATTATAGATCATTGTAAGCCACCATGTGGTTGCTGGGAATTGAACTAAGACCTCTGGAAGAGCAGTTAGTGTTCCTAACCACCGAGCCACCTCTGTAGCCCTCTAATTTTTTTTTTTTAGTATATAAGTACGTAGTTATTGCTGCAGAAACATGTTTTGGGAACATATGAAAACAAACAAAAGAAACTAGAGATGGGACTACAGCAGTGGAAGGCGTGCTTGCCTTATATATAGAAAGCCCTGAATCATACACCAAACCCTGGCTGAATCTGACAGCACATACAACTGGGTATAGTGGTACATGCCTGTAATCCCAGCATTTAGGAGAAAGAGATAGGATGATCAGAAGTTCAAGGCCATTTTGAGGCCCTGTCTCAAAAACAACAACCACTAAACAAAATCATTAGATGACCTATAAGATATGGGAGGATCATGAGGCTGGGCAGAGGAAAACCAAGCCTTGGGCTTTAATACAATAATGTAGCTGCATTTGCCAGGGAAAAATAGAGTAACAATAAAAGGTACTTCCACCCATCTAAAAAGTACATGCACGTATTTATTTATCTTCATTTTTAGTTGTTAGTGCATGTTAATAATCAACTCAAACATTATTTTACTAAACAGACTAAACAAGTTCTTAAGGTCAACTTGGCCACATTTCCTCACTTTGCAGTTGTCCTGGTTACTATCAACAACTCGAAACATTCTCCCTTGTTTGTTCTAACTTACTCAAATTCACAGTGCAAGCAGAGATAAATGTGAAAGAGGAAAAGCGGCCCCTCTGATACTCAGGGGACAGCAGCAGCACACTGACAGTCACCTGTGAATATGTGTCAGAACCATGTATGACGACAGACAGGTAAATATTCCTGAGATCATATTCTACACTTTATTTTACCATTTTCTTCCCAACTCAATAGAGTCACATTTCTGTATGGTCACTTCCAAGTTCAGTATGTCTTTTTCTTGATCTTTGGGCTACTTCCAAGAGTAGTTAAGTATCAGGAGCTATCATACTGGCAGAAGATGTTTTATACACATCCATACTTTCATTTGCTCTCCACAATAGCCCTGCAAATATACAATTTCCATTTTATAGATGAGGAAACCATACCTCTACTGAGTAGTAGAGCTGGAATGTGAGTTCAAGTTTGTTCCAGTGATTCTCTCTTTATTCCCAAGTATGTTTGCATTTTCTTGGTGATGGGTACTGAACCCTAAACCTTTAAGCATGCGAAGAAAGTTCCTTACAACTCAGTAATATTCACTACCCACTTATATTTTAGTTTTTGGTTCTTGAGACTTAATCTAATCTAGGGCCTGGAGTATACTAATCAAGTACTTGATTAATATGTTCTATCCAGAACATCCCTTCCTACATTTTTAGTAATTCTTTTTTTTCTTTCTTTTTTGGTTGTTTTTATTTTATTTTATTTTATTTTATTTTATTTTATTTTATTTAGGACAAAGTTCCTCTGTGTAACCCCTTTCTGTCCTGGAACTCGAACTCACAGAGATTTGCCTGTTTCTGCCTCCTGAGTGCTGGGAATAAAGGTGTGTGTTACCACATGGCAAAATTCTTTTTTTCTTTTAAAATTTACTTATTTGCATTTATGTATGCTTGAGTGTCTGCATATATCTATGTGCATCATGTATGTGCCAGAGGCTGTAGAGACCAGAAGAGTGCACTGATTTCCCTAGATCTGGAGTTACAGGCAGTGGTAAGCTTCTTGATATGGGTGCTGGAATTGAAGCCGGGTGTTCTGCGAGAATAACATGTACTTTTAATCTCTGGCCCCAATAATTAATTTTCAATCTTCAAATATTAATATTAATCTAAACATTATAATTCTTTGTTTTCAGGATTTCTTCAGTTACTTTCTACAGAAATACAATCTAAACATGTTTATGACTAGATACTATTACAAAAATTAAAATTCAAGCACAGTACCAATCCTAGTAATAAAGAATTCTTAAAACCATCAGATGAAACCGAAACCCTGAAACCAGAAAAGCCTTACATTGATATTTTCTAACTGCAGTAGATGTACTGTATAATATGACTTCACATCTTCAGATAAGAGTTTCACACTAAATCCTGTTTCCTTAAACAGCATCTCTCGGTCATCTGTTGGCCAGTATTGTGCACATTTAACCTAAATTTAAGAACAATAGTTTAGACATATTATAAAACCATAAAAAGGAAAATAAACCTCACATATACATAGTATAAACTTCTTCAGGTACTGTATCCTAAGACTATCTGAAGTATTTTAATGAGAATGACATCTTGTAAAGTAGCTCCATAAAATGTTTCCTTTAAATTTAAAAATCCATAAACAGCTAACATGTTCATAAAAATGTGATATACTTTCTTTAAAAATATTTATTTATTATGTATACAATATTCTGTCTGTATGCCTGCAGGCCAGAAGAGGGCACCAGACCACTCTACAGATGGTTGTGAGCCACCATGTGGTTGCTGGGAATTGAACTCAGGACCTTTGGAAGAGCAGGCAATGCTCTTAACCTCTGAGCCATCTCTCCAGCCCATGATATACTTTTTTGAGACAGAATCTCTTTAAACAGCCCTGGATCTCACTGTATAGACGAGGCTGTGAACTCAGAGATCTGTCTGCCTCAGCCTCCTGAATGCTGAGATTAAGGGCATAAGCCGACATGCCCTGCTAAAGTGTGCTAGTCTTAAAGCATAATAACATTTTAACATATTCACTCTGGATTTCTATTATCAGGCTCTTACAAGAACCTTATCTTCAGAAAACACCAGCGAGGTTTTCTTTTAAGACAGTTATCAGTGGCACACACTTTTACTCCTTTCACTTGGGAGGCAGGTGAATCTCTGAATTCAAGGCCAGCCTGGTCTACAGAGTGAGTTCCAGGACAGCCAACCAGAAAAATTGTTACTCAGATTAAGGATAACAAATAAAGCACAAGAGGTAAACAGGACATTTTACACTAAGGAGAGAAACAGAAACAGCATTAAAGCAAACAGAAGAAATGCAAAAGAAAATTCAACATATGTAGTGGGGGAGGGGGAACAGACAAGAACACCACCAACAAACAGTAGCAGAACAAATACCAACTATGAAAGAGTATTTAAACTACATACTGAAAGGCCAAAATTTTTTACCTGAGAAACCGATCAAATGACAGGACTTATTTTTGGAAAATTTAATGTTAAAGAAAAAGGGAGACAGGTTCAAGAGATGGCTCAGTGGTTGACAGCACCTGGGTTTGATCCCCAGCACCCATATGACGGTACACAAACATTCATAAACCCAGTTCCACGGGATTCAGCAGGTATACACATGTACACCCACACAGGCAAACAATCATAAGTTTAATATAAAATAAATTAAAAAAAAGAAAAAAGGAGAAAACCCTTTCAAGCAATATAGGTAAAATAAGTAATGGATTTATAAATAAATAAAAGAACATTCATTTGACTTGGATAGTAATCTATAATGCTATATAATGCTAGAGAGAAATGAATGCTATCAAATACGAGCCAAAAAATTTTTATACTCTGCCAAAATGACTTAAGTACTAAAACAGCAGATGCACTTTTACTGACATGTAAGAAATCAGCGATGAAAATGCCCACAACGCTAGATGAAAATGCTAGAGAAATGGTTCAGCAGTTCGGAGCACTTGATGCTCTTGCAGAGGATCCAGGTTTGACTCCCAGGGCCTGCATGGTGGCTCACACCATGCTTTACTCCAATTCCAGGGGATTGATGCCTTTCTCTGACCTCTCAAGAGTACCAGGTACATATGTGGTGCCACACATACACATTGAGGCAAAACACTCATCATACACATAAAAGGAAAATAAATCTAAAAAAAAAACCTTAATGCCCATGAGTCCTTCTTTATGACTTGACATGAATATTAGAATAAGTGGATAGATTATCAACAAGGACTGATGATGAATATTATATACACCCAAATGGTCCTCTTGCCCTTCCAATTATTATTATTATTTATTATTTTGCTTGTTTGTTTTTTGGGTTTTGTTTTGTTTTTGAGACAGTGCTTTTCTGTGTAGCCTTGGCTGTCCTAGAACTCACTATATAGACAATTCTGGCCTCCAACTTGCAGAGATCCACCTGTCTCTGCCTCCTGAGTGCTGGATTAAAGATATGCATCACCAGTGCCCAACTGAAGATCCAATTCTTAAATGTTCTGGAACCAATCTGTATTCTGTCAATCATGTTTTAAATAAACGCTGATTGGCCAGGCAGAAAGTATAGGCGGGAAAACCAGACAGGAAGTAGAAAGGATGCATGAGAACAGGAGAATTCTGGGAAGGAGGAAGTTGATTCCTCCCACTCCTGCCCAGACCACCAAAGCCACAAGATGTGATCTGCCCCACTGAAAAAGGTACTGAGCCACATGGCTAACATAGATCAGAATAATGGGTTAATATAAGCTACAATAGCTAATAAGTAGCCTGACCTAATGGGCCAATTAGCTTTATTACTTATAGAGATCTCTGTGTGATTTTCTTTGGGGCTTGCTGGCTGTGGGATACTGGGCAGGACAGAAATCCCAACAAGCAGGCCCTTCATGTTACAAATTTTCGTTTTTCACTCATACCCACAGTAACTAGTATCTCAGCACACAAATACTGTAAACAGGCTCCTTTATTTTCCATAACATAGGGGTTACTTTTTTGGTTTGTTTGTTTGGTTGGTTGGTTTTTCAAGACAGGGTTTCTCCGTGTAACAGCCCTAACTGTAATGGAACTTGATCTGTAGACCAGGCTGTTTGTTTGGTTGATTTTTCGAGACAGGGACTGTGGCTGTCCTGGAACTTGTTCTGCAGATCCACCTGTCTCTGCCTTCCAAGTGCTGGGATTAAAGTTAAGCACCACCAACGCCTGTTTGAGTTTACTCTTAATTAGTGATTGTTTACTATTATTCCTTTCAAGGGATCAACAGCTGGTGATAGCCCAGCAGATAAAATGACACCTTTACCCTACAACCTAGTTCCTCTTGAACACTGCAAACTTAACCACAGGAAAAGATGAAAACCAAACAAACAAAGAACCTCACCTCAGATGCACATATACAGAAGACAAACAAAGGAAACATGAAAAGCCAAGGCAGTATGATGCCTCCAAAAATTACTAGTGCCAGGCAGGTCGGGGTGGCACATGCCTTTAATCCCAGCACTCGGGAGGCAGAAACAGGTACATAACTATGAATTTGAGGCCAGCCTGGTCTACAGAGTGAGTTCCGAGAGAGCCAGGACTCTTTCACAAAGAAACCTTGTTCCAAAAAAAGGAAAAACAACAAAAACCCAAACCCAAAAACCAACCAAACAAACAAAAAGAACAAAAACAAACTAGTCCCACTGTAATCCCACTATAATGATCTTTAAGCAGAGGAAATTCCAAAGAACTCAAAGAGGGGACTGAGGGGACTAAGCTTAGCAGCTAAAAGTGGTCACTGCATAAACACCAGAAGCTGAGACTCCATTCCAGCACCACAGAGTAAAGCTGGAGACAGAGGTGAGCACACAGATGTGGGGGAGCAGAGATGAGTGACTTCCAGGGGCTCACTGGCCAGTCAATCTTTCGCCACAGACAGGCCACCCTGACATAAAACTCCATCTGAGTTAAATGACGTCATGGATCAAATGGACCTAAAGACATTTACAGACACTATGCAAACGACACAGATTACATGTTCTTAGCAGCATTCCAAGAAATTTCCTTTAAATAAGATCACTCTTGAGGAATACTGTCCTCGAGGAATGAGATGCCACTGTGTCTTAGAACTGCAGCAGCAGTGATTACCCGTGAGATCTGTACAATATTGAGCCCTGTAGCATTCCATAACAAATGGAGAAGCTTACCAGGCTCTTCCCTCTAAGGGTTTAAAGGCAGTTAACAGTGGCTGGGGAGAGGGAGAGATGTTTTTCTTTTTTCATTTTGTTTTTTGAGACATGGTCTCCCGAGGTAGCTCTGCTGCCCTGGAACTCGTTTTGTAGACCAGGTGGCCTCAAACTCAGAGACTTGTCTGCCTCTCGAGTACTAAGATCAAAGGTGTTCATCAGCATGGCTGGCTTTGAGACAGGTATTTTGCTTTGGTAATGGAGTCAGAAACATTAATTTTAAAGCACCAGTGTTCCTAAAACTAACTTCACATATATGCTATTGTAAAAAGTGCTGTTTCTTAGCCTCCCAAATGCACTTGAGTACAACTGTCTGTTCCTATCACTGTAGTGAGCAAATGTTTGCCTCACCGGAAAATTCACACAATACTCTTACAGAAAACAAATCTTGAGGAAAATTAAAATATTGTCTTATACTCCACTTGACCTCAATAGAATAAAACTACAAAACAAGAAAAACAACAGAACATACAAAGAAACAAACAACAAAAAAAAATACCACTGAATGAGAATGGATCTCTGAAGACATCAAAGAGAACAAAAAACATGTATAGAATTGCATAAAAATTACAGCATAATATTCCAAACCCTGTGAAACAGAATGAAATCAGTCCTAGAGAGAAGTTTATAGCTGTAAGTGCCTAACATAAAAATAAGTAAATATATGCATCAGAGTTATCTCAATATCTGAGGCTTTGGAAAAACAAGAACAAGCCAAGTATAGATAGTAAGAAATAAGATCAGGGCAGAAACTAATGAAATGAAAACTAAAGAAGCAATACACAGACTCAGTGAAACAAATGCTTGCAAATGCATTCATTTTATGAAACCAGCATTACTCTAATAGTAATGTTGGACAAAGGCAGAACATATAAATAAAATGATAGACCACTGTCTTGGTGAATATAACTACAAAATTCTCAATAAAATACTTGCAAATTGAATTCAAGAACACAGAAAAGAGATCATTCACCATGATCAAGTTGGCTTCATTCCAGAGATTCAGGGACGGTTCAACATAGCAAATCAAGAATCATACTTGACCACATAAATTGACTCAAGGACAGAAAACACATGATGTTAAAAAGACATCCCTTCATGATAAAAGTCCTAAAGAGACTAGGATTAAAAAGGACATATTTACACACAATAAAGGCTACATATGACAAACCTATAGCCAACATCACACCAGGAGAAAATTCAAAACATATTGGCTACAATAGGAAACAAGACAGAGGTTTTCATCTTTCTCTACCTTTCCTTATTCAATACAGTACTTGAAGTTTTAACTAAGTAAGATAAGAGAAGGAAATGAATGGATACAACCAGGAAAGGAAGAAGCCTATGTACCCTTATATATTGATAGAAGATCCTACATATAAGATATCCTAAAGATTGCATCAGAAAATTCTTAGATTTGATGAACAGTTTATTCAAGTGTCAAGATACAAAATTAATATTTAAAATCAGTAGACTTTCTATCAGTAACAACATGTTGGCAAGATATTTGATCTCACTGTGAACCCCGAGAGACTGCGTTACTTACTGAAAAAATCTATTTCTAGCTGTAGTGTGGCTCTGTCCTAGCATAAACCAAGAGCTTTGTGCTTACTGTAAACAGGATTAGATAAAATTAACCATAGGTCAAGAAGTAGAGCAAGTAACCAGTTGACAGGCAACGAACAAGAAAAAGACCACAGAGAGTAAGAGAGAGTCAGAAAGATGGACAGAGACTCACACATGAAGTAGAAGGGAGGAACATTCCGGTGGAGTTTTTGTTTGAGACTGTGAAACAGAAAGGAAATTTTTGGGGATGCCTGAGGAGGAAGGTCAGCTGGGGACTTTTTCTGATTCTCTGAGCTAGCAGGTCTTCACCCCAGCATCTGGCTCCCAAGTCTTTATTGGTAAAATGGAATGGAGTTTTTGCTTAAAAAAAAGAAAAAGAAAAGACAAACATGTTTACAAAGAATCAGGGAATAATCTCATTCTAATAGCTTTAAAAAAAACTTGTAACAAACCTAGGTAAAGAAAGATCTCTACGGGACGGTTACCAAGATGGGTAAAGAGACCCTGATCATCAATTAAGCATAAGGAGGCCACAGCATGGTTTGGCTCATTCCTTTGCAGATGAGCCAGAGAAGAGTATGGAACATTTTTTTAGCCGGGCGATGGTGGCGCACGCCTTTAATCCCACCACTCGGGAGGCAGAGGCAGGCGGATCTCTGTGACCAGCCTGGTCTACAGAGCTAGTTCCAGGACAGGCTCCAAAGCCACAGAGAAACCCTGTCTCGAAAAAACCAAAAAAAAAAAAAAAAGATCTCTACAATAAAAGCTGCAGCACTAAAGAAAAAATAAGAGAGTAGAAGATGGAAAAACTTTTCCTCCTCACAGATCAGAAGAATTAATACTGTAAGGGCAGGAACTGTGGGTTAGTAAAAAAAAAAAAAAATTCTTGGGCAGAGGTGGCACACGCCTTTAATCCCAGCACTAGGGAGGCAGAGGCAGGAGGATCTCTGTGAGTTAGAGGCCAGCCTGGTCTACAAGAGCGAGATCCAGGACAAAACAAAACTCCCCAAGCGAACAAACAAACAAAAGAATCCTCTTATGAAAGTTCTAAAGACTGGGGAGGGGGGGCATCTAATTCTGAGCAAAAAAGTAAAACAAACAAAAATACAATAATGATACATCATACATGATTTCAAGTTATACCACAGAGCCATAATAACAAAAAAAGGCTTAATACTTTCACAGAAAGAAAAACGGATCAATCCAATAGAAAGGGAACCCAAAAAAGGCAATATAGTTTCAATCAGGTGATCTTTGGTGCAGGTGTTACTGTGAGTCCAGTGGGTGGATAGACAAAAGCAGATCCTGAGGGCTCACAACCAATTCAGTCAAAACAAGGGCCCCCAAGTTTGGTGAGGGGCCTTGTCTTAAAACTAAAGCACAAATCAATGAAGAATAAACTCTGCTCCCCCAGTGAACATGCACACAGACAACACAGACACCTACGCAGTGACTTTCTGAACAGGGCCTCTATTCACTTGGGAAATAATGTCTGCAGGGACATCTTATGTTTTAAAAAGTAAAAGGTTTCCTGAATATCAGAGTGCTAAGTCACCAGAGGCTAGGCAGTGGTGGCACACAAGTTTAATTCTAGGACTCAGGAGACAGAGGCAGAAGGATCTCTGTTAGTTCAAAGCCACCCTGGGCTACGCAAGGTTGAATCTGTTTAAAAGAGAAACAGCTCACACAAGGGTGATTCCTGTGAAATGACTAAGCCTTAATGGACCTGAGAGCCAGTTGGCCGATGCTGATAGTAAAAGCATGCACAGAGGGCCTTGACAAAAGATGCCAAGTCTGACAAGAGATGATGAGGACCCTGCTACAGATCCCAGCACCTGATCACACGCCTTAATGACAGCAATAGAGAGGTAGGGACAGGAGTGTTACAGCTCAGCAAAGAGAAATAAGGCTTCCGGAGATGGGAGCTCAGTGCAGTCTGAGGTTTGGTGGAGACAGATGGAGCATGAAGATGCAGTCTGAGGACAGGATCACCCCTTTGGTCTGAGCACTGGTAGAGATAAAAGAACTCTCTAGGCATACGCCTTTAATCCCAGCACTTGGGAGGCAGAGGCAGGCGGATTTCTGTGAGTTCGAGACCAGCCTGGTCTACAAGAGCTAGTTCCAGGTCAGGCTCCAAAACCACAGAAAAACCCTGTCTCGAAAAACCAAAAAAAAAGAGAACTCTCTAGTTGCTGGCCTCTCTGCTTCTCTCATCTTCAGCATTAACCCCTGTATCTAACTCTTGGTTTTTATCATTAAGACCAATTAGAATTTCTATTACAAATGTCAACAGCTGACAAAAAGAACCTCATGAAATTATGAAGTTCCAGGAGCTGGAGAGATGGCTCAGAGGTTAAGAGCACTGACTACTCTTCCAGAGGTCCTGAGTTCAATTCCCAGCAACCACATGGTGGCTCACAGCCATCTACAATGAGATTTGGTGCCCTCTTCTGGCATGCAAGCATACAAGGAAGGAATGTTGTATACATAATAAATAAATCTTAAAAAAAAAAAGAAATTATGAAGTTTCTGCACAGAAAAGCAAGTGGTTAAGTGAACACCTAGTGAGCATCTTTGCTAACCATTTTATCTGACAGAAGACTAATATCTAGAATATACAAAAAACTCAAAAACATAAACAACCCAGTCAATAAAGGGGCTAATGAAATGAATAGACAAGATGAGACACAAATTGTCACTATATACATGAAAAAATGTTCAGCCTTGCTAGCTACCAGAGACATGCAAACTAAAACTACACTGAGCCGGGCGATGGTGGTGCACGTCTTTAATCCCACCACTCGGGAGGCAGAGGCAGGCGGATCTCTGTGAGTTCGAGACCAGCCTGGTCTACAGAGCTAGTTCCAGGACAGGCTCCAAAGCCACAGAGAAACCCTGTCTCAAAAAACCAAAAAAACTACAATGAAATCCCCATCTCACTCTAGGAAGGATGACAATCGTTAAGAAAAGAAATAATTGTTGGATATAGTGATGCAACCCTGAAATTCCAGCACTCGGGACGCAGAGGCAGGTGGATCTCTATGAGGCCAGCCTGTTCTACATAGGGAGTTCCAGGACAGTCAGGGGGAGGGAGGGAGGGAGGGAGGGGGGGAGGGAGGGAGGGAGGGAGGGGGAGGGGGAGGGGGAGGGGGAGAGAGAAACAACAGTTAACACCACCACCACCACCAAAACACAAAAAAACTCTGCTGGCAAGGTTGAGGACAGAAGGGATCTGGTGCACACTGTTGATGGGACCGTAAACTACTTCAGCCACTGTGGAAATCAGTATGGAAGTTCCACAAAAAAACTGAAAGCAGAGCTACAATACAACTCAGCTATAATACTTCTGGGTATCACAGAGAGACCTACATTTTATCAACGTTTACCATGGTACTATTCACAAAAGCTAAGTTATGAAACCAACTAAGGAATCCACAGATGAATGGATGAAGAAATGTGGTATATTTACAGAATGAAAAGTTTTAACCAAAAAGAGCATAGTTGTGCTATTTGCAGAAATATAGATGCAACTGAGATAAACATATCAAGTGAAACATGAAAATCTCAGAAAAACGGTGTTTCTCTACTTTGCCTATCTATACAAAATCTAGGAGATGGACGTGAAAGTGGAAGAGGAACTGTTCAGGAGTACAAAAGAAAAGGGCTTAAAGAGGAGAAGTGGGAGAAAAGGGAGTGAGGAGCAAGGCAGAGAGCGAGCTAAACACACCAGCTACACTTACATGAAAATGTCCTCATGGAACAGAATAAGACATATAGTACTATGAATCTACAAATTTATAATAAAAATGAGAGGAAGAAAAAGTATTCATTATTTCGCTGGTCAGAAATATCCTGGTCAGAAATATCCTGGCTACTACCCTTTAGGCACCAAAGGTCAATAGTAATAAATGAGTATCTGCTCCCAAAATGAAACATTTATAAACTAATGATCACAGATGGCAAACTAATCTATAAGTATTAAATATTACTCACCGATTCTTTCTCTACAGTTCGGTTTAACATGACAACTGCTTTGGTCTTTTGCTGCCACACCATGAGCCAGAAGTGGCAACATGTGTTAGGAAGTGGCCCCTGTAATAATAGAACAAGAACATATCAGGGAAATGAGCTGGGGAAGGACACGGCTCCGAGGATGCTGCTGTGGTGACTGTGATGGTCAGTGTATTAGGTCCTGCTAAGTGAAGCAGGACTTTAAATACACTTAAATTCAAAATATAGTCTGCATTCAATAAAACTTTTCCATTATATTATATAAAGATATATTATTGACTTAGGCAGAAAAAGAACTGTATGGGATACCTGGGGCTCAGAAATAAGAGCTGGATAACTAGATTCAATTATATTATATTCAATTATTCAACACTTAGAAAATACAGGCAAGATTTTGTGCCAAAAAAGTCAACTTAGTTCATTGCTTCTGATACTGTCATATTATTATAGCTTTGTTATCATGACCAAAGGTGCCTAACACACAGGCAAATCAGAATCATGAAAATATCTGGGAGTTCACGTTCAGACTAGAAAGGAAGTCAGAAAAGGAAATTTGACTCTTTTCAGTTTCTGCAACAGACAAGTGATATCTCAGATCATGGGGGGAATCTGTGAGAAATGAGGAAGTTTTTGTCATTACTGACTGACCAACCAGTCCAAGTCAACATAAAGGAACTTGCAGAAAAAAAAAAAAATCATCAAAGTGCCTGCAAATCAGTTTGTATCATCTGACAGAGTATCGGCTGGCAGAGTTAAAAGCGGGCAACCATCTTTATTACAAAATGCTACGGAGGGGATAAAAGCAAATACACAGTTTCAATCCAGTTTCTTTCACATCTGTCTTCATGATAACATAGGGGAAAAAAAACAGGAAGGAAAGGAGGAATAGAGGGAGGGAGACAGGCAATGAAGCATGCCCAGACTTGGACTTTCTTCCTTCCTTCTTGTAGGGCTGAAGATGTAACCCAGGGACTCATGAAAGCCGAGCAAACACTCTACCATTAAGTTATAAAACAAACTTGCATCTAAACATGCAGACCATTTTCCGAGCAATGTGCCAAACAGTTCAGTGTCATGAGCAGGAAAGACCAGGGTTGCAGCCCCACTCAGTGTAACTGAGAGTTCAGATCGTTCTACACTGACTGAAATCATCTTTAGAGCAGATATATTTTTTGGTGTGTTGCCAATACTCAATACATACTGCTTAAGTAAACAAACTCTAAGGTTAACCTATAAAATTGCTAGATAGCTGAGAAATTACGACCTTACTGTTAAAGAATTAGATTCTCTTCATTCAATGTACACATCTATTTCCAATATAAAACATACAGTCCAAAGGTGATAAAACAAACAACCTCTCCACTGAAATAAGAAAATCCCCAGTAAAATGAACACTTTTTTCTTTCATCTTAAAATAAAAATCATGGGTTGGGTATAGTGACCTACACCTTTAATATCAAGGAGATGGTTCTCTTTGAGTTTAAGGCCAGCTTAGTCAACACAGTAAGATCCAGGCTAGCCAGGGTTATACAGTGAAATCCTGTCTGAAAAGAACAAAACAAAATACAACAACCATAAAGTGAGACTAGGAAAAAAGCACCCCAGTGTGGCTCTCAGTTACCTATAACAAGCTCCAGGGAATAGGATAGAACGCTCTCTTCTGGCCTCAGGAGGAGCCTATATATGCATAGCACACACAAGAAAATACACAAGGACACATACAAATAAATAATAAAGAAAAAAATGCTATTTAAAAATAATTACGAAGCAACTTAGTAGAGAAGTCCTTTGTGTGCAAATTCATACCCCAATTCTATTACTGGTTCTAAAGACTAGACAGAAAACATGCAACAGCTGTTATAGTATAAAGAACAAAGGATTCTAAAAAGACAGAAATTCATCTATCAGCTAGTAATGATACAAAAAAATTCCTTCCTTTTCTTTTTTTTTTTTTTTCTCTTTTTTTTGAGACAGTTTCTTTGTGGAGCTCTACCTGTGGACCAGTCTGGCCTTGAACTCCGAGACCCACCTGCCTCTGCCTCCCAGTGTTGGAATTAAAGGCATGCACCACCACCAACTGCTGAAATGCTACCAAATTTTTAAACATTAAAATGGACATGACATACAACGCTGATTAGAAAAAACAAAGAGTATGGCAAAAGACAATTAATCTAATAAGCAACAAAGAACAATTAGATACTGTAACATTAAATGTAGATTTTCTCTCTCTCTGTTCAAGTAACATGCTATGCATAGGCATTACTAAAATGTAGTCTCAGCCCCTACAAAGTGCAAATGGAGAGAGTGAGAAGTTACTAGCATCAAATATTCAAATCATCAGGTCCTATGTTGTAAGAAAGTCTGAGATGGTACAGCACGAATCTGGCAGAGAGGTGATACGAAGGACAGGGGCAGTTAAGGTCACTCTACATGTTCTAAATATCAAGCAAGGTGCATAAGAGCACATGGTAAAAGTGTGGGTACAGGGGGCTGGAGAGATGGCTCAGTGGTTAACAGCACTGCTTGCTCTTCCAAAGGTCCTGAGTTCCATTCCCAGCAACCACATGGTGGCTCACAACCATCTGTAATAAGATCTGGTGCCCTCTTCTGGCTTGCAGGTATACATGCAAACAGAATACTGAGAATACTGTATACATAATTAATAAATAAATCTTAAAAAAAAAAAAGTGTGGGTACACTGGAGTGAACCACACCTGAAGAGCAAGTAGATCTGGTGGCAAGAAAACATCGTACAATGCTGCACTGATTTCTGTGAAACTGAGCAACGTGTATAGGCCAAGGCTGCAACTAGGAAAAATACGATAAGGATTGCTCTACTCAGGTGAAGAAATAGGAAGGAGGCTGATTTCCTTCAATTAACCTACCAACTAGACACAGAAAATTAAAAAATTCAAGACTTAGGTTAAAATATCCATAGAGCAATGAAAAAAATACAGAAAGAAATCTGTTGTGGAATAATCCTTTTGTACACTGTAAAGATTTGTCAGCTCAAATTAGTTTAATAATATCACTGCTGGCGATAGACGTGCTGAAAACTGCTGGTGGGCCACAACCTCATGGTGATATACAGATTAATAGAAATGGGTTAAATTGATATGTAAGAAGCTAGAGCTAATGGGCCAAGCAGTGATTTATTAATGCAGTTTCTATGTGATTATTTTGGGTCTAAGCTAGCCAGGTGACCAGAAACCAACAAGCGGCCTCCACCAACAGTATATATAATAAATACATAAATTAGAAAGGAAGACATGCCTAAAAAAAACACAGTAGAGAAGAACTGTAGCTTCAAATTTTGGCTTAGTCTTATCCACTGTATGACTGTACTATTTAATCACATTCTTCCTCTGTAGCATAACAGTATTTAACACAAAGGTTGTTCAACAGTTATACAAAACATGCAAAGTATTTTTACTATGCTTATTTATTTTGTGTGTGTATATATTTCAGAATGTGTATGTGTGTGTGTGTGTATATATATGCATCATGTGTCCCTCAAAGTGGCAAGTAGGAGGACAACTTGAAAGAGTTCGTTCTCTATACCATGTGGTTCCCAAGGACTGAATTCAGATTGTTAGGCGTGGCAGTAAGCACCTTTACTTGCTGAGCCATTTTGCTAACCCGCAAAACTTTTTTTTTTTTTTCTGAGACAAGGTTTCTCTATATAAAAGTCCTGGCTGTCTGAGAATTCACTCTGTATACCAGGCTGGCCTCAAACTCGGATCTGCCTAATTTTTAATTCTTTATAAGAAATAATTTTACTTCTCATTAGAATGTAATGTTCACAGTGGTAGGGGGGTTTATGTGCTTATTTAGAGAAAAGATCCCATGAATTGAGACTGATCTGGAAAATCTTGATCCTCCTCTACCTACAATTACAGCCAAGCATTATCATGTCTGTTTTTTCCCCTTTTTAAAAAGGGGACCTGTTTTATTTAAGTAGTGACTGCCAGAGTCGTTCTCAATAAATCTCCAGATGAAGAGTCAAGTGTTATCAGCAGAATTTAACACAGATTCTGTTAAAGCAGAGCATACCCCACCCTAGGTGACAGAGGTTGAGAACTAAGGTCCTAGGTAGGGAATACAGTTCAGATGTAACAGTACTCAATTCATCTGTGTGCGGTCCTTAGACCATACTCTGCCAAAAACAACACGCTAACAAACCACGGTCCCCAAGACTGAAGTGTAAACACGGAGATAGCTAAAAGAGAATCTTAAGAAAGACCTGTCTTGGAGCTGGAGAGATAGCTTGGCGGTTAAGAGCACTGACTGTTCTTCCAGAGGACCCAGATTCAATTTCCAGCACCTACATGGCAGATTACATTTGTCTGTGGTTCCAATTACAGAGGACCTGACTTCCATGGCTAAACACCAATGCTCATAAAATAAAGTGAAATAAATAATTAAAAATTTCTTTAAAAAATAAAGAAATAAAAGACCCATTTTTAAGGAGTAAGAGAAAGAACCAATGATACTGATGGAAAGGACAGCAGAGAAGGGACAGCTGTGTAAAAGGTGCTCAACCATCTGTCCTGGCTTAAGTATGAAATTTTCTGCTGATGGAGGTGGGTCTTGTATCTTATCTGTTGCTTTCATTGGTTAATAATAAAGAAACTGCCTCAGCCCTCATAGGACAGAAAATTAGGTAGGTGGAGTAAACAGAAGAGGATGCTGGGAGAAGGAAGCTGAGTCGAGGAGTCGCCATGGTTCTCCCGCTCCAGACAGACACAGGTTAAGATCCTCCCTGGTAAGCCACCTCGTGGGCTACACAGAATATTAGAAATGGGTTAGAACAATATGTAAGAGCTTGCCAATAAGAGGCTACAGATAACGGGCCAGGCAGTGTTTAAAAAAATACAGTTTCCATGTAATTATTTCGGGCATAAGCTAGCCATGCGGGCGGCCCGCAGCCTCGCCGTTCCTATCTCAACATTCTGCCTTGGGCCTGATGTTTCTTGAGGGACTTTTGGGAGGGCTTGGGCCTAACCAAAAGTGAATTTCTTGGTTGGTTAGTACAGTAGCACTAGGAAGTGGTACCTAGCATGAGGAAGCACAGTATTGGAGAATGCCCTTATCACACAGCTAGTTCTCTCTGGGTCCTACTTTCCAGGATATTCTGTCTCACCTTAGCCTTAAAGCTAACCTCAAACTTAGTCTCTAAAATTATAAGCCAAAATAAACTTTTTTCCTTCAAATGTGCTTTCAAGTACTTGTCATAGCAATGAGTACGTAACACATCATGCTTTTCCATATTTTTGTTCATTTTCAGTAAAAAGTACATTTTTAACTCTGAATATTGATTTAAGAAAACCATAAATGACTTTAATTGAGCATAAACCATGTTACTGTAAAACAGCAAATTAAAATTGACACTCCTAATCCCCATAAATGACTGCTTCTAAATGGTATATATATGACTAATTCATTCAACCCACATCAGTCCTCTCATGAAATTAATGTTGGAATAAGCACATTAACATTTCTGGATTTTTCAGGTCTGCTTTTCAATTGCATTTGTAGCCACCAAGTACTATATACATTATTTAGTTGTTTATTATCAAGTCACTGCATGAGGAAAATCATACTAGGTCCAAGTTAAAGAAGACCTCAAGTGATTCAACTTATAAAAGCTATGAGGTTACCCGGAGGTGGTGATGTATGGCTTTAATTCCAATACATGGACGGCAGAGGCAGACAAATCTCTGTAAGTTCCAGGCCATCCTAGTCTACAAAGTGAGTTTCAGGACGGCCAAGTACACAGAGAAACCCTATCTCGAAACACTAAAATAAGAAAAGGGGGGGGGGGGGGGGAGAGAAGAAAAAGCTATGCGGCTATTAAAGTCGTGACAATAGACAGGGAATATTTATTGCAAGGAAATTTCCAATTAAGCTTTAGTGAGAATCAAGCAGTTAAAAGGAATGTTTCGGCTTCCTGTTGTTAGCCAGTACAGTCTCCAAAAGGAACCAGCACATGTACTAGTACTAGTCTCAGCATAGCTGAATTACTTCTCCATAGTCTGGATGTTTAAGTATAGTATCACTGCAGGCAAATCTGTTTTGTAATGTCAAATAGTTGCTTGTGGCCATGAAACTAGAACACTAGCAATCCCTGAAGTAGCAAACAGTGTCTTCTTGCTAATTCTCTGCTGCATCTCGAATGGGTCCGGCAGGAAGCAGCTCATCACTCTTATTCGATCAGTATACATTGCTCTGGATGGAATCATGTATACTATGTATACCTCTTCTCCCGAGTGTAAACAACCTTCAGAGTAACTGGGAGAAGGAAGGGTAGGAGCAGGGGTCAGGACAAGATCTGAGGTTAGGAAAGGAGGAGGTCTGAGGGAAAAGGCTGATTAGTACTTGGTAGATGCTCAGTGCCTGGGCCGCTATAAATCAAAGTTCCTAAAGAGAGGGATAAACAGAGCATCTTTTCAAATGTATATTATCAATCTTTATTTTGTTATGTGAAATGTGAACTGATATTCTTAGCCAGTTTTATACCAGACTGCTTTTCTTTCCTTTTTAGTTACAGAAGCAACTTTACTTTAGGCAAAATAATTTGTTTCTCTGACAGAAAATTCTAACGGCTCACAGGTACGTTAAATTGAACTTAAAAAACAATTCACACTTTTTCTGTCTTTCAAATAGAAGGTATGTTAAACTTTTTAAAAATTTCAAACATGATGCCACAGATACAGTCGGGACACCTGCTTCCAGACAACCAGAGTTCGGTTCCCAGCACCCATGTTCTATGGCTAACACCAGACTGTCTACTGGACACCCTCTTTCGGAGTCTGTGGGTACCCTAGTGCACATAAACATATACATGTACATAGACACATAAAAATAAAATTTAAAACTATCAAACATAAAAGCTTATACTTCTGAGGCTTTTTGACTGGAAGACATGACAGGGTTGCATTTTAACCTCTCTGATTTGATAATGGTGGGACTACACGATAACACAGCTGCACTCTGGAAATATACTATAGTGCAGGGATGGAGAGAGAAGAGCTTTCAAGGGCCTTCCTGGTTCTTCAAAACAAGTTAGAGGAAGAGAACCCCAACGCACTATCAAAAAATAACAAAAGCTATATTAGATACAGTGCAAGAAGTTGATTTACCTGAAGTGAATTGCACCAAGCCATTTCAGAAGAATTTCCTCCATTGAAAACAGGAACAGTACAAACAATCTTACTTTTTACCAATGTATTTAAAGTTCCAAAACTATGATGTTTGCAACTGATTTCAGAATCAGAAAACTAAAAATAGCAAGTCATTTGCAAATGTCACCACATGTTCAGCTTTGTGTAGAGCCGGCAGCCAAGCTCTATTCTGAGGCTTCTGCCCAGCACCGCACTACTTGCCTGTGTTAGGATGTAACTTCTTTGTGCCTCTTCCATGTCAACTAAGCTGGCGTTAATATAATCATTTTCAGTACTCTGCAGTTTAACACGACTGTGATCATCTGAAAGCAGAGAACGTTAAATCGTAACTGTCATTTCAACTTTTCCATTCCTTTTTATATGATGGTAATATTCTAAGGCAGTTATAGATGATAGGGAGAAATAAAGAAAATATAAAGTTACACCAAAGGAGAGTTGAGACAAATCCTAAATTGCCTATTTTTTTTAAATGACGAAGTTAAAACAATCTTATTGCTGGGTATTGGAAGTGCTTCTATTTGTAGTCTATCATCTACAGTAACGTGAAAAACGGGCCAGAATGTGCAGTAAAATGAATAGGGCACTTACCTTACTGGAAGTGAAAAGTCAGCTCAAGTCTCAGTGCCTAGGAACTGAGTGTCTATGTGCAAAAACATAACTGGGCTCAAACTGATGAGAACAGACTCTTCACTTCTTGGTAGCATGCATACAACTATATTTAAATAATGCTTAACACCGAGAAGCTAAAATAATTGGATTATTCTATCTGTATCCTTTACAAGAGTACTGGAAACTTCAATACTGAAGACTATGTTAACAGGTTAGGCCCACTTCTACATTTTAAAAATAAAAACTGAAGCCTGGCGATGGTGGCGCACGCCTTTAATCCCACCACTCGGGAGGCAGAGGCAGGCGGATCTCTGTGAGTTCGAGACCAGCCTGGTCTACAGAGCTAGTTCCAGGACAGGCTCCAAAGCCACAGAGAAACCCTGCCTTGAAAAACCTAAATAAATAAATAAATAAATACTGAAGATTAGAATTCATACTCATTTTATTATCTAAAATACAACACTTGACCTTGTATCATTTAGATGAGAAAGTAAACAATGAGAACTTATCCCCAAGATTAACTTTACTTTAGAATCCTAAACATAAGAAAGCCGCACACATAAAGCTAAGTTACAAATTAAATGTATGATGTTTAACTTCAGAGAATATATTCTGTGACAAACTATTCCCCTCAGAAATCTATCTTAAATATTTAATCTCTTTCCACTTCTTTTCCACTTTCTCTGTTTTTTCAGCTAGGGTCTCATGTAGCCAAGATTGGCTCTCAACTGGATGGATATGTAATAGAAAATGACCTTAAAATCCTGCTTCGCCTACCTCACAAAGCTTGGGCTGCTCCCCCTTCAGCCCCCACCCAAGACTTTTTTTCTTTTGGTTTTTCTGCACAGGATTTCTCTGTGTTGTCCTGGATGTGCTGAACCTCTCTCTGTAAACCAGGCTGGTCTTGAACTCATATGGCTGCTCGTGTCTGCTTCCTGAGTGCTGCGATTAAAGGTGTGCACTACTATACCTGGCTTCTGGGCTACCAGTTTAAAAACAAAATCAAAACTACAGCAGCCAGGTAGTAGTGGCGCACACCTTTAATCTCAGCAATCAGGAGGCAGAGGCAGGTGGATCTCTGTGTGAGCTAGTTCCAGGCCAGCTCTAAAACTACTGCAAAATCCTGTCTTGAAAAACAAACAAAGAAACAAACAAAAAACTATAGCAACACAAAACCCCAAACTGTCCAACCGATTTCTCCATGTGAACAGAAATGCTAAACGACTTTAGTTTCCACATCAATGTATCTCGGATGTTTCTGTTGGACTGAACACAAGACCTTTTTAATATTACATGTCATCCGCAAAAGAAAACTACAATCTGGCTATAGTAAATCACGTGCACTAGTTTTCTGGGAAAGATGACGTCAGCAAGCACTTTTGAAAAAGTATTTTGTTAACAGCTCAATCATCCTTTAATTGTCACACTGTACAAGGCAAGGACAGCTTCCTACTCAACAAAATTAAGACCATATGTTTCATGAATAGCACAACCCCATGGAAGAATGCAAATTTTTAGAGAAAGCAAAACAACCACCAAAATCTAGACTCCAGTACAGTATCGCCCAAAGGAATACATTTCCTCATGTTCCAATCACAGGAAGATTACAAACCAAACAAACACACACACACGCACTCATACTCTTTTGGCCAACAAGCAATTCAGAAGGTCAGGCCCACACACAGGGTGCTAGGAAGCCAGTGCATCTGCAGAACACTTTCCCAGACCAAGGTAGAGCTTAGAAGCCAAGACTAGAAGAAAAGCTCAACCCCATTCAGCTATTTTCCTTCAGTCTTTAACCCAAAATGATAAAGACAGTATTCACACCCAGAGACTAACAACATAGAGGACACTGGACACTATCTGAAAGCCACCCAAGGCCCAGTGCCATCACAGGGCTCTGCTTCATTGTCTAACAATGATTGATCCAATCAACAAAAGCAAAGGGACGCTGTGCATTCTCTCAGGGTTCAATGACAATTTTTAAGTTTTGTTAGAGATGACTAGAGAAAATAGTAATCCTTAGGAAATCAGGACAGCACTTTACAAGTAAGCACAGCTGGTGACTAAATCTGTATTTTCTTCTAGGGAAAACAAACTGTCAAGGGCACAGCTGTCTCATTATTTAGGTTCAAAAGGAAATGGTGAGCAGAGCACAGTGGCCACACCTTCAATGCCAGCACTCCAGAGGCAAAGAGAGACGGTCTCTTTCAGTTTGAGTCTAGCATGGTCTATACAGTGAATTCTAGGCCACCGGGACTACATAAGAACTCATAACAAAAAGTAAAAAGAAACACACACCTTTGACTCAAAATAAATTCTAAAAAACAAAAAAAAGACAAAAAAAACCCTTTTGTTGTGTGTTAACTGAAATATATCACCTTGATATATCAAAAAAGATCCAACATATATCCATTTCAGGAAGTAAAATCCTCATCAAAACCTTGAAAACCTGTGACTTCACAATTCCAATGCCTAACAAAGGCAAAGAACCCTGTCATTTACTTACTAGGGATTACTTAGCAGGTACTCAGTTTGCATCATCAGAGAGGTCCCTTGACAACCTGGGAGTTAACTGTTTCCTTTCCATGATCCACTAGTGTTAGTCACTCCCAAATCTGTGTACTGTTCATTTTAAATTTTTAAAAATGTTTTATTTTTATTTACATATACATGTGTGGGAGGGGTGCGCCCTGTGTATGTGGATGCTCTTAAAGGCCAAAAGAGGGCTTCAGATCCCCTGGAACTGGACAGAGTAATAATAGGCAGCTCTAAGCTGCCAGATATAGATGCTGGGAACTTAACTTGAGTCCTTTAAAAGGACAAGGACACATGAGCCCTTAATTGCTGAATCACCTCTTTGGAACCCCTGAATTGTTTGTTTCCAACAAAGGAAACGTTTGACTTCCGAATTAGAAAAAAAAAATGTCATAGTTTTTATTTTTGCCCAGGATTCTCTGAAATGAGATCATCAAAATGGGAAGGGCTCTACAACTTGAATCCCAAAGTCCACAGTACTTTCTTGATCAGCATTCTATGGCAATGGTTGGTTCTCTCTCTTCTCTCCTCTTCTCTTCTCTTCTCTTCTCTTCTCTTCTCTTCTCTTCTCTTCTCTTCTCTTCTCTTCTCTCTCTCTCTCTCTCTCTCTGTATCTTTCAAAAGATGCATAAAGGAGGGAAACAAAGGAATCACACTTCCGGGGGCAATCTTACCTATCCATCCCTCAAAGCACCAGCAGCAGCACAGGAAGGAACATATTTATTATTCTGTAGGGTTTTACCTCTTCTTATTCTTGCCACCAACTGAATGAAGAAATGCAGTATCTAACAGGACTGTAACTTAAAAATTGGATAAAAAGTAAGCCCACCCACTTCTGATGAAGCCTTTCTGTCTCCTACCCTCATGTTTTTCTGAGAAATGGTTTCAGCTCTCAAGAAATGACTTGCTCTGTCTGTGGCTGACACACAGAAGCTTCCTCTTTCAACACTCATCATGAACTGAAGAAAAGAGCCCTGTAGATTTCATCCAATTTGTCACCATCTTAAAGGCTTCTGCTATTGTAGAGTTTCACATGTTGAACAACAGAAGGGAGGGTTCATGTTCGCCATGGCAGAAACCAATTACTAACTCACAGGTTAAAAACAGGACAATTCTATTAATACAATATTATCAGTTAACTTTTCTGCTTATATTTTCCTAATCTCTACCTACTTGTGGTACCTCTAACAAGAACTCACAAGAACTCAATGTATCTTTTAGCGATGCCAACATTGTTCAACTCCAATAGCTGACAGACAATAATTCTTTTTCATAAACTGAGCAAGGTGTCCTATGCAAAGACTGCTACACCCAAGCCTCATAGCTACTATCATTTTCATGGAGAATAAATATAAAGCTTAGCACACATGAAAGTCTGAACATTTCAGCTCTTTACTCTGCAAAACAAATGAACCAATCAAACAAACAAACAAACAAAATCAATTAGAGCTACCAAAGAGCACTGTTTAATGATTAGGATAGGCCAGACACTGTGACACAACTTACTGGGCTGTTATCTCAATCCTCACAACTTGACAAAGTAGATACACTATCATCCCATTTTGCTTACATTTTAAGACTAGAGGGATTTGAATTAGAAGATTTCACCCCGATATCTGACTCCTAATTTTATTTTGACAAGATTAATTAGAATAACGCCTCATGTGGTGGCCAAATACTGGGACACGAATTAACAAAATAGTTGCTTGTCTCTGGCTTCACATCCACTGGAACTACTACATGCACCTGCTGGAGTCACTTTACCATTAGCTTTTCCTTTTTTCTTCCAAGCCCTCTGATCAAGTCTGGTATTTTCCTGTTGCAGCCTCTATAGTAACCTCCACAAGCGTCAAACTCCACAGGTACCTGGGCTCCCAAGACCACCAGAGTTATCCCCTAACAACCAGCCAGCACTGCCATAAGCAGTTCTGTGCTTTCACTTCCTGTCAGTCAAACATGCTGTTTTCACACGTTCCACCATACCCTTCTCTTGTCTGCCATTCAAACAGCTGGCTCTTTGGTCCTTTTCCTCATGGGTTATGGGCTTCCCTGGACACTCCCCCGAGGCTGCTGACACACAATCAGCCTCAGCTGTCCTCAGCCAGGCTGTGCACCACCTGTATTCTCTGCCCAGATATGCAATACCACAACAGCCAGCCTTACACTTCACTGTCATCGTCAGCAGATTTGGTGAGACAACTTGGAATTCTGATAGATTAGATAGATAGATAGATAGATAGATAGATAGATAGATAGATAGATAGATAGATAGATAGATAGATAGATAGAATTTTCCCACATTAAAAAATGGGAAACACTATTATGATGGAGGGAGTTAGTCTTCATGATTTCACAATGGATGCTTTATAATGGAACAATTAAATGACGGGATAATTAGTTTAGCTGGGATTTACATAATGTCAATTATAAGCATTATCAGTTTGGTAATTCTTATTTTATTACTTAAAAAAGTTGGTTGATATGAGTGCCAAGATAACAGTTTCTAAAAAGGTTACTAAAGAAAATAATGCAATTCTGACAGATAAATTATAAGCCCTAGAAAAACTTACTAAAACAGATAATAAAGATACTCAGACAAAGATGAGAAATTTAAAGGAACCAACTTCAACATTACATTATAAAATTAGAGAGGAATACCTCAAGGTTACCAAAAAAACCCAACCTTAAATTATCCAGTCACTATACAGGAACACTGCCAAATGAGAGGTATCCCCAAAGCTATGTAATAGTTGACTGGATTCCTGTGGAAATGTTACCTTTAAGGAGATTTAAGAAAGCAATAGTCTCATGTGGTATACATTCACCTTTTGCAAGGCAGGTGTTAAATTCATGGTCATCTAGTAACAGAATTGTCCTACAAGACTGGAAAGACTTGATTATAGCAATATTGGAACCTGGTCCTCAATTACAGTGGAGGACTAAGATCACTGAACAACAAAGTGGGGTTGGAGTTAAGGAAAATTTCCAAGAACAACTTCGTGGAGAATGCAATCATTCTAATGTACAAAGACAGTCTATATATAACGGCCACACCTTGACTGTATGCCATGCAGCAGCTTTGAATGCTTGGGATAGAATTGAAGAAGTTGGATGTTGTAAGGAGAGGGCCGCTTGTTTGTTCCGGCTGCCTGGCTAGCTTACACCTGAAATAACCACACAGAAACTGTATTAATTTCTTCTGGGCAGTTACTATCTCCCTCTTGTATTTAAATATTTAGTAGAAGGATACCTTAGGACAATGTAAATAACTTGTTTCAACATTTATTTTCAGCATCTTATAAGAAGGTAGAACTTTCTCTATTTTCAGCTTACTTATTCATTTATATTCTAGTATTATTAGAAATTCATGGATTCCTACTTTATTCATCAGGTATAAAATCATCTTAATGTTCAAATTATCCTGGGGTTGACCAGTGGACTTCAAGCTGGCTTGAGTGTCTTTATGACATACTACTCTTCAATTTTTTGTTTGTGGTTTAAGTCATATCCTTACTTTCTAGAAATTTTAAGAGGACTCCTTTCTTCCTTATTTATTTATTTATTTATTTGTTTGTTTGTTTGTTTGTTTATTTGGTTTTTCAAGACATGCTTTCCCTATGTTGTCCTGGAACTCACTCTGTAGACAGGGTGGCCTTGAACTCAGAGATCTGCCTGCCTCTGCCTCCTGAGTGTGAGAATTAAGGTGTCCGCCAAGCCCTAATTTAATTTTTGAGACAGGGTCTCATTCTAGTTTTGCCTAGCCTCTGAGATCTGCCTGCCTCTGTCTCCTGAGTGCTATAACTAAAAGCATGTGCCATCATATCCAACCCTTTTTATTTTTATTTTTTTGAGACAAGGTCTAGCAGTATAATTCAAACTGGCTCTTAACTCACAAACCCCCTGCCTTTGACTCCTAAGTGCTGGGAATTCAGGAAGACAGTCACAACACCTGTCTAAGGGATTACACTTTGCTCCAGTCCTGGAAATCAGCCAGTTGTCCAAAGCGCCCTGTTTCCTCTTAGTAAAGAATGAACTTGATTTACTAAAGCTGAGCATGCCAAGTACCAACAGGGTATCATTATTCTTAAACTTCTCGATGAGGCTAGAGACACAGCTCAGGATTGCTAAGGGAATATGCTGTTGCAGAGGACAGAAGTTTGGTTTCCAGAACCCACATCAGGTAACCCACAACAACCTGTAACTCCAGCCCCGGGTGTATGACCCTTCTGGGCTCCACCGGCATCTGCCCACATGTGGACATTCCTACCCATCCCACACAAATGTATGCACACACTCATATTGACATAAAAGTAATATTTAAAAAAAAAAACACAATTATACTCCAGTCTTGGGTGAGGTGAAGAAGGAGGAAGGTTCTGCTTGATAAGGGATCAATAGATGAATGGGGGGGGGGGTAGAGTTTGGAAAACAAAAGGTCAAATAAGGGAACTGAGGCACAATGAGATAGACCTGTATGTACTTCCAGTTACTTAAGAGGCTGAGGCAAGGAAGCAGGTCTTAAAGTTCAAGACCTGTTTCCTACATGGGCCTGTATACTGAGTTCAAAAGCCAAACTGGGCAACTTCACAGGATGCTCTCTCAAAAGAAAAACAATAAAAGGGATAGAGATATAACCTCATAGTACAGCATTTGCCTAGGATGTATCAGGTCCTGGGTTCAATTCCCAGAACCACAAAAAGGGGAGAGAGGAAAAGAAGCATAAAAGAGCTATTTCCAAGTCTCTGATGAAGCCTTTTATGTACTTATATGTTCTCTAAAAAGAAGCCAGCAAGGAATCTACACTCTGCATAAATGACTGCAATGGGTTTACTGACAACAGTTTATTTGTGTACTTAACAACTCTTAAGAGTTTGCTTATAAAACTAGAATTCAATGACAGCCTATTCGCTCATGAACTTAATTCCATGGTTATGCTTTTACAGAATAAACAGTTTCATTTCTATATAAAGGTTCAAAATTTGGGAGCTGGAAAGATGCTGGCTGCTCTTCCAGAGGTCATGAGTGCAATTCCCAGCAACCACATGGTCTCACAACTATCTGTGATGAGGTCTGGTGCCCTCTTCTGGTCTGCAGGCATATGTGCGGGCAGAACACTGTATACATAATAAATAAATAAACAAACAAACAAGCTGGGCGGTAGTGGCGCAGGCCTTTAATCAGGAGGCAGAGGCAGGCGGATCTCTGTGAGCTCGAGGCCAGCCTGGACTACAAGAGCTAGTTCCAGGACAGGAATCAAAAAGCTAAGGAGAAACCCTGTCTCGAAAAACAAAAAACAAACAAACAATAAATAAACAAACCTTTTTTAAAAAAAAAAAAAGTTCAAGAGTTAAATAAGCTACAGACTGCTCTGCTGAGGTTGTCTCTTTCCCAGGATAATCAGCTCTAGCTTCTTCACTGCTGCCTGTTTTATATTCTGAATCCACTCCAGTTCAGTTGATGGCTTACAGAAATGAGCGGAGAAGCAAAGCTCTACTTCTGGTTTTCAGGAATACTATGAGCTGAGGCACTTTCCAGGTAGTAGATTATAACTCAAGTGAGATTTCTTGACTCTAAACTTTTTCTAAACTCTCCAAGGAATGAAGAATAATACAAAGTGTTCCAAAATGGGAGCTTCACAAATTGGAGAATTAAGGTAAAAGAGATTTTAAAATATAACAGCTAAATAGTTATCTGATTAGGGAAGGATGTGGGAAAACTTTAGTAAGAAAAAAAAAAAATCAAAGAATTAAAGAACCCAGTGCTGTAAAAAAGTGAATACACACCAAGGGAAATAGTTAATACGACAACAACAACAATAAGAAAGGCAAAATGAAACAAAACAATAAACAGCAAAAACAGTGCTGGAATACAGAAAGTAACCTTCAAGTCAGCAGAACTGAAGATTTCAAGGGTAAAAGCTGGGTGTGGTGTAGAAGGCTGAGACAAGAGGTTCACTGTTGGAGGATAGCACAGGAAACATAGAAAGTCCTGCTGCAAAATAAGCAATCCTCCTTTCTTTCTCCTGGGCAAAAATATTGAAGTTGGTCAAATCGAAAGTGCTGAAGAGGTTTGGAACTCGAAGGCTGGTGTTGCATGGTGTTTGTCGTGGGAGACATTAGGTCACCCAGATTAAACGAAGGCTCTGATGAGGAGAGGGGATGACAAGAAACACAGGAAGTGGCTATGGAGCCTGGAGAAGTGAGCTGTACAGGAAGAAAAAGCTTTGGCAGAGGTCACTTCATTGGCAAGCTGAGGAACCCTAGATGAGACTAGGAAATGCTTAGATGTCATTCATAGGAAGCAAGAATAACAAGGATCCTTCATCTGAGACCAAGAAATGAATTCACTGCTGAATTTTACCAGATGCTAGAACACCTAATAAAAAAAATGCTCTTCAAACCAAAGAGGGGCGAGAAGATGACTAAGAAAAGTTCTTGCTATGTAAGTGTAAGGAATGTCTTCTGAATCCCTAGAACCCATATAAAAGGCCAGGCGGATATGGCAGCCTGACTGCAATCCAGTACAAGTTATAAAAGAGCTGTGTGGCTAGCCAGACTAGCTAAAATAGAGTTCTGGGTCCAAGCAAAGATCCTACCCCTGATGTATAAGGTGAGGAGTGATCAAGGAAGACACCCGACACATGTGCGTGCACAGACACGTAGTTATTAAACCTGCTGTGGTGGCCAACATTCTGGAGGCTGAAGCAAGAGGACTGCTACAAATTTGAGGTCAGCCTGTGCTACACAGTAACTTCCAAAACAGCCTGGACTATACAGTGAAGCCCTATCTCAAAGAAAACAAAAAAGTATATACATTGTTAAAAATTGCTGTACTAGTCAATCTACCCCCAACCCTCTATTTCCACTGTATCCTGTCTCCTAAAGGAACTGAAAAACACACATGCACATAAAGCCACAGTACTTACATGGGCTTACATCTCTGTATCTGTTTCGATTTCGGTTTTCTGGAAACTTGGCCACTCTATGAGGATAGTCATGGGACTCATTTCGAATTTCCTTAAAATAACAAAAATATATTTTAATATCCTTATTAAATTTTATATAGCAACACATACCCTCCTAGACAATATAGAATAGCATTAAGCACTTATTTTAAGTTCCAAAAAGCTACAGGTAAACCTTATATCAAAAAATAAAAACAAAACAAAAAAAGGAAGTTCAGACTTTGCTCACATTACTCTAAATATATATATATATTTAAAATAATATCTATTATTTATTTAACACAAACATTCTCCCCCTGCCCAGATAGGGTTTCTCTGTGAAACAGTCCTGGCTGTCCTGGAACTCACTCTGTAGACCAGGCTGGCCCCAAACTCACGGAGATCTACCTGCTTTTACCTCTCAAGTACAGGATTAAAGGTGTGCACCACCACCACCCCACAAACATTCATTCTTGATGCATCAACCTTTTTAAAGATCTATAAGCACTCCATTTTAGAAAAGGTCATTTTCTAGTTTACTTATTTTATTTTTTCAAGACAGGGTTTCTCTGTGTAACAGTCCTGGCTGTCTTCAAACTCACAGAGATCCACCTGTCTCTGTCTCCCAAGTGCTGGGATTAAAGACATACTACACTACCGCCCAGCTCCACTTTCTAGTTCTTAATTTTACCCTTTGGCCTTCAGTGAAAAACCAAATTTTCAACATATATTTTGCTAAACTTTCCATCTAATTCCCAGTAACCCTAAATTCAATAATTAGTCCTTAGCAGGCCCCCACTCCCACCCCAGAGGACAGAAAATATTTATAAAAAATTAAAGATTCTGTAGTTATTTTAGATATGCCTATAAGCTGTAACTGCACCATAAATCCAACATATAAATTGAGTATCATAGTTGTAAAACATTTTTACAATTAACTTTTTCCATTGGTATTTCCAAACAAGATCATTGTTGATCTCATCAATACTACTTTATAACTTATTTCCTATTTTTGCCTTAGTGTTTCTCTCTTTGGGTTGATTTGATTGATACTGTAAAACCCCCTTAACCCTCAGAAGTTTTTAATAATGGAACATAATACACATGTTTCTAATCTAATCCTAATTGTAATATTCCTGCAAGATGAAAACACTATTGCCACCCTTAAATGTGCAACAGAGTAGGACAGTGGTGGTTTTAATCCCAGCACTTAAGAGGCAGAGGCAGGAGGATCTGTGAGTTTGAGGCCAGCCTGGTTGGTCTACATGAGCAAGTTCCAGGACAGTTAGGGCTATTGCACAGAGAAACTCTGTCTCAAAAACCAAAAAGTACAAGAAATTTAATTTTATGCTTTCCAAATCATTATTAAACTTAGCACCACTTCTTAATTCTTAACATTCATCAGTTACATTTGCTCTATCATAGAATAATTCTATTTCAAAGACTCATTTGTCACTAAGACTGTCAAAATTTAGTTCCTAAAGTGTAATGGTAAAGACTAACTATATGGAAATGAAAGCAGGTCTGTTCCTACTCACCCCACTTGTGTTAAAGCTCATATTTTCATTCATTTTTCTTCAAGAAAAGTATGCTAAATGTTTATTCTGAGAAATTTTACAAATTATGTGACCATAAATAGGATTTTTAAAAATTTATTGGTATGGTGCCTTTAATCTCAACACCAAAGAGCTGAAGATAATTGGATCACTGTGAATTACAGGCCACTCAATAAATAATTTAATAAATAAAATAATGAAAATAAATGAAATGAAAATGAAATAAAATTTATTGGTGATTTCTTTTATGGGGTGGTGGTGATAAAAAAAAATGGGCAGGACAGGACTCCCTCCATAACATCTTCACTAGACTCTTTAGTTGTTCTGTTGTATAATTCTATCTTCCACATATCTTGTCTGTCAATTGTTAGTTATTTTTTAACCTAGAGACAATTATATGTATATACTATAACAAATTACTGGTATTGCAAAAAGATGAAAGTATAATTTCCAACCTCATTCTAAATACTTATTTATATAGCCACAGATAAGTATAGCATTCACAGCTTATTAAAGAAGCTTCCTGTAGCAGACAAAACCATTACAGAAATTACAACTGGCTGGGCATTGGTGGCGCACGCCTTTAATCCCAGCACTCTGGAGGCAGAGGCAGGCGGATCTCTGTGAGTTGGAGACCAGCATGGTCTACAAGAGCTAGTTCCAGGACAGGAACCAAAAGCTATGGAGAAACCCTGTCTCACAAAACAAACAAACAAACAACAAAAAAAGAAATTACAACTGGTCAAGATGCAGAGAACTGAGCAGGGGCTGGGCAGCTAGCTGGTAAGTCTACATACAACATTCCTACACACCTAAGGTTTAGGGAACATCTAGGAAGAGGGAGTGGGAAAACTGAGTCAAAATCAGCAGCAAAATAGTCTCTTCTTTATGAAGGAAACTTCAAAACAGCATTAATTATTACTGATTGCTCTCATTCAAGTTTACAGTGAAAAAGAGCATGTGGGACAGAAAGATTGAAAATGCGCATTTGGAGAGAAAAAAAGCACTAGAAAGTTTAATGTTGCCTCAACTTATGTGTCGGATTATTTTTTCATTTAAGGTCATAATATGATTCTACTCAATATAGAAATGGAACATTTAGTGCTATCACACCAATCTTGCCAAATTCACTTGGCTCCTTCATATGATAGATTTATAAACTCTAAAACCACATAAATACACCCTGACACTATAAATTTTACATAACCTATTAATAGCTAATATAGCTCATTTATCTTTGGTATGTCTTGGCAGCAACTTATTTAAAAGCCCTACATACAAGTATACAGTTGAATAAAAATTTGCCTTGCTTGCTGGATGGTGGTGTAAACCTTTAATCTCAGCCTGGTCTACAGAGTAAATTCTATGACAGCCAGAGCTACACGGAGAAACACTCTCAAAAAAACCAAATTAAAAAAAAAAAAAAACAGGCTGGAGAGCGGTTAAGAGCACTGACTGCTCTTCCAGAAGACCTGGGTTCAATTCCCAGCACCCACATGGCAGCTCACAACTGTCTGAAAATGAAGTACCATGAGATCTGACACCTTCACACCAATGAACATAAAGTTAAATAAATCATAAAGAAAGAAAGAAAGAAAGAAAGAAAGAAAGAAAGAAAGACAGACAGACAGACAGACAGCCAGCCAGCCAGCCAGCCAGCCAGCCAGCCAGCCAGCCAGCCAGCCAGGCAGTGGTGGTGCACGCCTTTAATCCCAGCACTGGGAGGCAGAGGCAGGCGGATCTCTGTGAGTTCGAGACCAGCCTGGTCTACAAGAGCTAGTTCCAGGACAGGCTACAAAACCACAGAGAAACCCTG